ATTTAGGAAAGTCTAAATGATCTACAAAATGTGTGTATTATACGCAAAATGTATCATTTTGTAATTGACATGTAAGTCGGATATGCTAGTCGTAACATCGATGATTTTGTCCTAATACGAGCAGACTGTACTTTACAATTTTTTCTACTATGATGTATTTGTTTCGAATCTGGAAAACAATAACTGAAAATATGTTCTCGGGCTCAAAATTTTGCACCAATTTAGACATTTTTTAAACCATTTGATGCTCTAATCATCCAATGTTACTACTCTTTGGTTCAAAAAAAAATCTTTCAGTCTTTAATAAATCTAAAAGGGATCAGGTAAAGTTCTTTTTTTTTTAGTTTTATTGCTACTTAACGAAGAAAACAGTTCATAGAAGTATTCATATTTTTGATTTATGTACACTATTATCAGTAAAGCCGCTTAAGGTTTTCAGAAACCGTTTGTCGAACTTCTTATTACTGTCAGAACATCGAAAACTGAAAAGGCAATCATGTTACCAGACTTTTTTAAAAGCTTTTTTTGGGCAATTTAATTTTCGTGTTAGTGAAGAAAATTTCACTTAAAATTTGCTGAAATTAAAGGTATTACAGATTTTTCCAGTCAAACTCATGATTTGCATAACACAATTTGCATATATAATAAATCAACCTGCCTAAAACAGTTTTAAGGAAAAACAATTTGAATAGAATTCAAATAATCATATGAATTGAATTGATGTTTAGCTTCAAATAAAACTGATAATAAATAAAAGAAAAAAGTGCAAAACACATTTTTTATTCAGGTCAGGGAAAGATGAAAAATAATGATAAAAACTTGATTTTGTTGCCGGATTTTTACTTTGGGATTCTCACATCAAATTGAAACCTGAAATTACGGCGAAAAACGTTATCATTACCATAAAGTGAATGAAAACTTATTAAAAAAAATAAACCTCATTATTGAAAGTTTCCTTACAGGTTTACAAGAGGAAATTTGGATGAGGAACTTCACATGAGAAAATTTAAGAAATTGAAGTATAGTATGGACCTGAAATACTAAAAACAAAATTTAATTTAGTTTAAAAGTCGTAAGCTGACTGAAAAAAACAACCTAGACTACATTTTCCATACTTTTTTAGAAAGTAAGACAACTTGGGTAACCATAGCGACGTGGCTATGTACTTAAGCTTTCTACCGAAAAGTTTTGTTGAACAGATACAATATATAAATTACAACCATTCGTAACATTTCCCGGTTTACGTGGCCATAGAAATCCATCGCTGGCGCCAGGCCTGATCAGGGAAAAAACCATGTCAAAATCTTGCTAGGATTACTCTGGACTTCGAGGGGAATTCTAGGAATGCAGGCCTGAACCTCCATGTTAGTTTTGATAGAAAATACAAATGTTTTGATCCTGCTTGAAAGCAAATTTAACCAAAGGATTTTTTCTATAAAGAAAATCTATAGGTTAAATGCAAGAAGTTTGCAGAAAAACTGTGTTTTTCATTGGTATATTAAGCCTAAATTTGGCAAAAAAGCATAACATAAAAAAAATTTCAAACACCGTTTTTTTGTGGAAAAGTCATCAAGCTACAGTTCTCTGGAAGTTTCAATCCTTACTTTTAATCGTGAATTACATTTTTTTGTCACCATTGAAAGTAAGGTTTGAAATTTCCACCAAGCTATCATATAAAATATATGGCTTGATGGCTTTTCTGCAACAAAAAGGTGTTTGAAAAACTTTATTATGCTTTTTTGTCGAATTTAAGCTTGATATGTCAATGCAGTTTATCTACAATATTCTTGCCGAAATATAGTTGGGAAACACACGAAACCTAGTTAAGGAAACATAGAAACAATTTTGAGCTTCTGATTGACCATTTCCAATGGCAACTGAGAAGAAAATATTATACTCCTTGCCTGAAAAAGAAGTTAGTTGTTCTTCGAAGAAATTTCAGAGACTGTCAACTGTTTATTATCAGAGAAAAACCAGGTTGTCACGATAAGAAATGTAAGAAAAAACAAACTGCCTGTTTTAATCGACTCTAGCTGACAGAATGGGCCTAATTGAAGAAGGAGAATAAAACTAGATATTTAGGAGTTGTAAGTAAGGATAAGGGTAAAAACTTCTTTCCCGGAAAAAATTTGAATTATTTAAGTTGTTTATTTTCCTATATCGAAATAAACTTGCTGAATTGAGCCAATAAATCTAATTTTTTGCTGAAAATAAAAGAAAATCAGAGTAGAGAAATTATTATATGGCGATGTAAAAGATGATACCGAAACTTTTTTAGTTCTGATTTCGACCTCAAGAAAAAAACTTCAAGGTTTTACGCCGTAATTCAGGGCCAAATTCGATCTACAATGACCAATCTTTAAGAGCCCAATTCTTAGAATACAAAAACTGATGATTACTTAGATTTGTGTAATCTTCAAGGCAAGCAAGGTTAAACTGAATTTGATGACCTTAAAACTATGTTTTAGACCTCAATCCGGTTTTCATTGAAAATTTTTAACCGACTTTCAGACGTAGTTTTGAACCAAAAAAAACCATGGAAAGTATGAGGTAATTTTAAGAAAAAACCTTTCGTTCCAACAATTTTTTCTTCAATATCATTCCTTTCAAAAAAGTAATTTTGGATATTTTTTTGATTTATGGTTTTATTACCTAATTTGAATCGGAATTTGATTTAATTTAATAAGTTTCATGACTTTTTTTGTTCAGTTTTTTTAATGAATTTTTATATGATTAGAAAACAACTTTCTTGTGCTTCACAAAACAGTTATTGATTTTTGACGAAAACTTATTTGTTAAATAAAAATCTAACCATCAAATTGGATTAAAAAAATGCCCCGTACTGAGATTTGTAGTTAAATTCAAATTTGGACATCGAAAATAAATACAAAATCCATATCTGTATCAGTCTTGTGGTATGTCTCTTTTTTCCCTGTACATGTCTGAAACAGACAAGTACCAGACATGATATTTATGAAAAAAAAATCAGATCTTGAGTCAATTATGATCAGACTTGAAGTCGACCTGGACCAGGCATGTTCATGTCGGAAATTACACGATCATACCTGGACCAGACATGATCGTGCCAGAAACTACATGATCAGACCTTAAGCAGACATGATCATATCTGACTTTACGTGATCACACCTGGACCAGACATGATCGTGCCAGAAATTACATGTTCAGACCTTAAGCAGACATGATCATGCCTGAAATTACATGATCAGACCTGAAGCAGACTTATCATGATGGTAATGTAAGACCAGGAAAATCCGTGAGTCAACTGAAGCAAGCTTGGGTATTAACTCGAGAAGCAAAAATCAGTTTATTATTGGCATCAGGAAATACTCAGCATGCCAGATATTAAGCTGACAAGAACAGATACTACAAATGATATTAGCCAAAAGACCGAGAAGCGATAACTGAAACAAACGATCTTTTTCTACATGCCTCAGACACAACAAAAAAGCAACAGCTCGGACCACAAAACGTTTAAGCTATCCGACTGAATTGGGAGCTAGGTCGCTCCCGAAATAACTTATACAAGATCAAGGCAAATAATTAAAAATAGGCAGTCATTATGATTCTTTGCCTTATCAAAACACCCTGCAGGCTTGTAGTTCTATCGTAAAACTAAAGTGGACTACTTTATAACCATCTGCGTTTCTGCCGTTACATGGCCCTAGGTTTTTTACACGATCAGACTTGAAGCAAGTATAATCATTTGTGACCAGGTATAGTCATGTCTGATTCAGGTATAGTCATTTCTAACCAGTTATAGTTATGTCTGACCAGGTATAGTCTTGTGTGACTAAGTATAGTCATGTCTGATCAGGTGTAATTATGTCTGACCCAGGTATAGTCTGCAAACGGCAGAACAGATCACATGTGAAACAGATATGCACAGAGTTGGAAAA